CAACTCACGCCTTCCCCGTGTTTTCCTACTGAGAAAGAGGGCAACAGAGTGGGAAAAGAGCAGGACTAGATGATTCTGGCTCAGGCTGTGCCGAATGAGGAGGCCACACAGGTGCAGCCACCAAAGCCCTGCAGACTGCTGCTTTTCTCCCTTAATCCCCACAAAAACCTACAATTTCAGGTTTCCGGGAAGCACTCAAGTTACATGAAATCCATTAGCTGTTACAACTGTACTCTCCCATCAAGATCTTATCCTACTGGAATTGTATAAGAAATATAGACAGGTCGGTGGTGGAAGTGCTGGATAAATACAAAAGAATAAAGGTATGATGTGGAACAGTTAATGTTTATAGGCTGCTTATAAAAAGTTAATTCACCCATCTTTTCAATGGTGATGAAAACACCTGTTTTCCTCGCCACTTGGGGATGGAGGTAAATGAGAACAGACACCGTAAAGCTCAAGACAAGCATGTGTGGAAGTGTTTGGTCTGACTTTCTCAGTTCTGATTGCCTTTCAGCCCTGATGATTTCCTTGCCAAGAGAAAGGCTCTCCATTGGAGTACTCCGGAGTGTGCACAGCCTTTCCCATCTGACCCAGCTTCCATCAGGCCTTCTTACCAGAGCCTGGCAAGCCTGACCTGGGCAAGCTACTTCCCAGTAGACAAGGCCCATCTATACCATGAATGAGACTCTGTGCTAATGTCATGCTCTGGAATTAGTTGCTCAGCCAGGCTCCCATCATGTCCTCTGCAGTGGATAGGCTAAACACGTAGGCATTAATTCTCTAAAGTGCTATCAAAATCATTTAATTTTGTTTTTCTATAAAGGTAGGAACTATAGCCAAAATATTTCCCATAATAACCCCACAGTGGTCATATAAAACTTCTGGTTAGAAGTAAATATTCACAGATATTAAGACTGCATTTTCAAAATTCATGAGCATTTTATAAACACTCACTACATAACCCAGCCTTTTGTCACCTTCAAACTTCTCAGTGTAATGTTCTTGAACTGTTTGTCATTCATATCTGAGTACTGTGTCTTATAACTTGAATTCAGTTCTTCTGTGATAATGCTCAGCCTCAGCTACAACTGTTGCCTGCATGTTGAGTGATTGCTCAGGTAGAAAATGTTATCCCTTCTCCAAATGTTTTGGCTTGTAGTCACTTAGGTTTTGGAATAATTCACTATCAATCCTTAAAAATTTTGATTCTATGCACATGAAAGAAGTCAAAATAGAAGCAAAAATGAATTTTTTTTCTTTTAAGAAACTGTGTGATTTTGATTGTGTGTGTGTGTGTGTGTGTTGAATACTACCTGCTCTAGAAGTTCAGTAGAATCTTAAATAAACTCTTAATGATTCAGGTTTATACAATGCATTTGTGCTGAAATATGTACTTGTGTTCCTATGTCAGCCATTAATTTGGGAACTGTTACAAGGCCTTAACAACCTTTTTTTATATTCCCAATAAACAAGAACCCAACTCAGCAGATAGCTTCTCTGCCCGGTATTGTTTTATTAGTATAATGGCTTTATGGCAATGATTCATTCAGTGGTTTATTGGCAACAAGGCTAGTAACTGTAGTTAAATATCTTTCATGATGTGGTAATTTGCAAAACCGAGCATCTTTGATTTTGTATAGTGATATAAAAGCCACTGACTGGCTCAGTCACTCTCCATTTAGTAGAAGTCAACTTTGTCTGGCTTCAAGTAGTTTTCCAGGGGGTAGAGGGGAGTCAAGATTTCCATTTTCACCCATAGGTGCTAAGAAAAGCCTGGTTACCCCTCAGTGGATTTTTATTTCCATGTGTGTGCTTGCAGCTGTGACTCATAGCTTGGAAAATAGGGAGGCACTTTGTGATGGTACTTATTAGCAAGTTTCCTTCAGCTACTATAATTAATTCAATGCTTCCTTCCCTTTAAAGCTGACCAGATAACCTGTAGCCCACCAGTTTGCTTTCTCGATAAAAGCTTTTCATTTCTCTTTTAACTTTCCATGCTCCCTCAAATCAGCTTTGCTTTTTTCCTCCTTTCAATGCTGTGTACCTGAACCTAAGACTATTACATGGTCTGAAAGCTTTGAACATCACGGCTGTGATCAGTCAGTAAAGCAGTCCAATTTCCACTTTGTTCAAATAGTACTTTCCTGTCTTGTCTGGGAAAAGTGTCTGCCAATTCATTTTTCTCTTCTTATCAGCAAAACACATATATACTGTGCTTGTGTTGCTTAATATACAACACAGAGAAAATCCCTGAACAATCAGAAGACAAGTTAGAAAACCTGCTCAGGTTTTTGCTCTCATCCCAAAGCTCTCACTTTTGTTTGTCGTCAAATGAGAAAGCAAATTGACAGAGCACACTGATTTTACAGATGTTAGTCACTGCAAAGTGTCAGGCCTCAATGATGGTCTTCTCTTAAACAAAGAATATTTATCACATGCTCAGTTTCTTAGGAACCATTTCCCTCCCTTGCATCTCCCAGCTCCCAAGCCTGATTTACATGCAGATAGTCTTGGACAATAGTGACTCATTTATAGTGAAGAAATACTTGACAAAGCCATAGAGGTGCAACCTCCCAAGCCCCTCCAAAACACTCCTACCAAATATGGTGCTGTAGGGTTTTTATATCTATCATGAGCAGGACTGTTTGATACCCCAAAAGATAACACATTCTTTACTCATTGCTTTATTATTTCTAACGTATTTTTTCTTATCATTCTACTAATTTTTTTTTCATTGAGAAGCAATATCATTTTCCCCCATGGAAGGAAAAAGCAAATGTCATTGTAACTCTGCACTTAGTAATTTAAATTTTATATCAAAGTCACAAAAGGATTAAAACTGGTCCAAAATGTGGATCACTTTGTTTTGTGCCCTGTCCTGTCCCCTTGTTTTGCCTCCTGTTTGTTTGCAGTTGGAATAGATGGGACACATAGAAAAGGGCAAAATGGAGAGAATATGAAGCTTTCCCTAGTCTTCTGCATTGGTCGCATCACCATCAGGTTCACCCAGATGCATTTCTTGAAGCAGCTACTGTGTGCCCAACATGCTGTTGAGATGTACAGACTAAATACAAGACTAAGGACATGGCTTAGGCCACAGCAAGCCAGATCAGTTCTACCACATCCATGTAACTCAATCTCTCTCCTAATCTATAAACTAAATTAGAAAAGTTTCTATCTTCTAGTTTTGTATAAAGAGCCAAATAATTTAATATTCTCAGAGCCTCCTATAATGGTGCCTGCCATCTAGTCTGTGCTCGATATTAGTGATTATTTTTACTATTCTAGCCCCTAAAGCTATTATAATCAAATAAAGAGAGATAACATATAATAAATCATGTGGAATTGTATGATACATATTTCAACTGCAGTAGAATAATAGGAGAAAATGATTAAAAATAGAATTAGTTGGAAAACTGGCACTTAAACTAGCTTTAACAATAACAACCACTGTTGAGTGTCTGTACTTCCTTCATGAACTCTGTCACATGGTCTTTTGTTCTCCCAGTTTATACTTACCATTCTTTTCAGTCAAAATCTAGCTTAAATGGAAAAAAAAATGCAGTGATTTATTCTCTGACTCCCTAGAACTCCTGTGGAATAACACAGCTAAATGTTCAATGGAAGGACTATGCAGCCTGAATATAGAGGGCTGAGGACTCTGGGCCTAGTAGATGGCTTTAGTTTGTTTAAGACTTTAAATATTGAATATGAGATAAGAAAATGGCTGGGAATATAATTCATAAAAGAATTGTGGGGATTCTATGACAGTTATAAAGACATTAAACTGTGATTTTCATGCATCTAGCCTTCATCTCTAACAGCAGTACACTAAGCACAGCAAGGCAGGTTCCCATTGTGCTTCACGTGTATGGCCAGACACACCTTTGAAACACAAGAGGAAGTTATAGACACATTACAGAAACATTGGGTCAGAGCACATGAGGAGCCTGAGGACCTGATCCCTGGTCCAGGGGCCTGGAAGACCCTGCACATAGTGTTTCTCAATTCGGACCTCAACTGTCTCATATAGAAACTAGGCATAATGATACCTTCTTCACTAGGTAACACTTAAGATTTGCCAGATGGCAAAAATATAATGTCTATGCGAGTTCTTTGAAAATTGTAAAATGCTGCTCAATTGTTTGGTGGTGCCATGATCAAGTTTAGAGTCTAACAGGAAAATAGAACAAAATATATGTAAAAGACCAATAGGAACCTAAGAACATAGAGAAAATAAGCAGCTGAACGGCCTGAAAAAGCAAGAAACATTCCAAAATGTCTGTTCATCTGTTCATGTTTGACTAATTGAAGGTCACAACAGAGAAGAAGAGTTAGTTTCTAAACTACCAATTTAAGAAGTTATGTTTAAACTTACTAATTTAAAAATCGAGGATATACTTATTAATTGAAGAAATGCTGTTTTGATACACATGAATTATCATACAAAAATTATAGTGGAACCTGATATGTTTCAAATTGTAAAAAGTATTGTGTCTTCACATATATGTTAGACCGTGAACATGGTGTAATTTAAGACCGCTAATGACCTCCCAGGCCAGACTGTTTACTACAATCCAGCATTGAGTCACACTGGCTATTATGTTCACAACTTTGTTAATTGTCCTTCTATGTTGATATTATACTCAGTATTGTGTTTATTGATTACCTGTGCTTTGGTCAGAAGAACAATATATTTGGGCCAGCACTTAGCATGAATCAGCCCCTTAGAAAGCTGTCATTAAACACCTACTAAGACACCTGAGGTCATCTTGGTACCACAAGTAGATAATACAGGAGCATTACTCTGAGATCAGTGGAATCTTGTACTTCAGTGATTACAAAAATTCTTACATGTATACATTCTAATAGTAAGCCCATCGTTTTCGTTGGATTCTCAAAATAATTAAGGAACAATTTTTAAAGGAATGAATAATGGTATCTGGATCAATTAAACTCCAAGAGCTTTCTAACAGGAAATATGCTTCTTTTCTTAGGTACTGAAGTTTGAACCTGGCAATATCAAGAGGAGGGGCCTGGCTAAGAACATGGCTCTTGTTGACATCCAGTTGGATCACCATGAACGGTGTGATTGTACCTGCAGCTCAAGACCACCTCGATAAAAGAATGTACATAAACTTATATTGAGCATGAAAGAACCTTTAGTTTAAGAAGGATATGGTAAGGGACCCTTTCCCCACCCCCAGCAACCGAATTTGCTACTAGCCCGAAATACAATGATACAGTCATTGCTGAGACGACCTAGCTTTGTTAGTTCTGTGGCAAGTAGAAAGGTGCATCATCAATTTCTATATCCAAGAATGTAAGACTGCATTTTATAGTAGTATGTGAGGATATATATGTATACACACAAATATATACATATGTCCAGGATATGTGTAAATAGATACATGGTTTATTCAGTAGGTATAACCAGGTACACCAGAGCTTATATATGGCTGAATGATTTAGACCCTTAATATTTTTCCAAAATAAGGGTAAGGGATATGTCAAATATATAACACACATCTGTAGGAAATTCAGAAGATGAACTTTTTATTTTGTTGAATTTTGAATCGCAAACCATTTTGGATCTTGAGCCCTTAAAGAAAGCATCTTGTATATTAAACACCAACATATAGGCTTTTCTTAGATATCTGCCTTAATTATAAAAAAGGAAAAATATGGTTTGTGGGAAAAAGACAATTACCTAACCATTTTTTCCATGAGATGCACTACACATGCTTGGTAATGTGGACTATAGTTGCCTTTCTCCAAAACCATGCCATAATAATGTGGGAAATTTAGAAATTAAGTCACTAAGTTATCTTTATATGCATTTTCTGAGACATTCTAATTCATTTAATACCCATCTCAAAAAATATTGCTCAGAGTGTTTATTATCATGATCCTTCAAGAGACAACTTATAAGTTTTAGCAGAATTTTGAATTTTTTTCTCTGCAAAAATTCCTCCAAAATAACAAATCCTTTAATAAATGGCATGGAGATTATGTATGAGCCTTTCAAATGGTGTTCATCAAAAAATTGGGGCAGATGAAAGTCAAAAACCTAAGCATTGAAATATTGACATAACTGGAAATTAGGTGGAATATTTGATAGGATCCATATTTAATAATGGATTCAAACTATCCAAACTGTGCCAATAATTTTATGTATTTTGCTTTTGTGTTCCTGTCTCTTCAATATATACACATGGATTTACAATGGCATTTTATATTTGGAGAGCCATCATGGATTATTTATAACCTAAAAACTTTTGTATATTAATAAAGCAAGCAAATTTTATTGATGTAAATCCCTAATTATATCCTCACTTAACATTCTGAATTTCTATTTCTGATCCAAGTGAAATCAGATCTGGAGTCTTCTGTTCTTTCCAAACCTAGGGAGCCCCCTGCAAATTATGGGAGTATAAGTTTTGCCCTACTATCCCACTTGAAAACTGTTTGGCATTTGTTATTGATAGTTGGAGTAAAATTTTCTCTCTGACTCCTTTGTGTCTATTTTAAAGAGACTGACTTCAGGAGTAGGAAATGATTCATCATTCTCAAAGCAAGACACTTAAGAGGGAACACTGAGATCAACATAGCTCAAGGGTTGCTCACGGAGGACCACATTTTTCCTCCAATCTTGAGAGTTAAAGGAGAGCTGTTTTCTTTTATGAGTCCAGGGTCCTACTGACCACAACCAGTTAGTGTGAGGGAGACGTGCCCCCACTGTCGAGGTCCTGGTGTCAGATGAATGGCCTACATATATTGGGACTTTTATGTACAGTGCTCTCAGACCCAAGTTGTCAGCTGTCCTCAAGTAGCTTATTTCTTCTTGACTCTTTGAAATAAGACCTACGCTTATTGATGATGTACTTTCTAAAAACTCCCCTAAAAGTGTTCAGTGTTTTTACTCAGGGAATAAGTGGTAAAATAAAGCACTCTGTTGTTCAGTTTTTCTAAAATCCCAGAGCACAGTCAGAAATAGCCCAGGCAGACAGTCATAATTAGGAGCCACTTCCCTTTCAGGACCACTTGCATAATTTTCCTGGGAAAACATCAGCTTCCTGTTCCAAAATCAAAATGTGTGTTAACATCACTCACTTTAGCTTCTACAGCTCACATTGTAGCTGTAAATATGAAAAATCCTCTGTGTTCTAACCCAATTTTCAATAAACCTCCCAGGCTGCAATAACCAGGATGGTTTTCAGTTAAAGCCCTATCTTTACTTTTTATTTATTAGCTGAGATGTAAGCAGATGTATTCACTCACTTATCCTTTTCTTTCCTGCATGTTTATTAAAACTTCTCCCTTGGTTATCTGTTACCTATCACACTTCCAACGTGTAGCCAATAAATCTGTTCCATTGCCATCAAAGGAATAAAAAGTTCACTGTACAAATTACATTTCAAAACACACCCTAATAAATCCACATTGCTGCACGGCTCACTCACCTGGAATAATGCCTTTCATTCAATATGTTCTTATAAAGCAGAACACTTTCGTAAGTAGAATGTTTTATGTTTTTTTGTCATATCGGTAACATGCAGCTTTTTCCTCTCACAGCATTTTCTATAGCAAATGTAATATGCCTCTTATCTTCATGAAAAATAAATATTGCTTTTGAACAAAACCACTCCATTATTTAGTACTCAATTGCAGTTTTAAAAGGTATACAATATTACAAACATACTTTCACAAATGGATCCAGCTGTTGGGAATGACAAAATTGGGTGATATCTGAGGGCAATTTATAAGAGTTAAAAGAATGAACCTGCTCCCAGACGACAAGCTTCCACTCTGTCCCCATCCTGCCACCATGTAGTGAGATGGGACTTGGGCTTCATGGTCTTGTTTGTCTTTTCTGCCCCAGGCCTTCTGATGGATGACACTGTCTTTTGACATTGCCTGATTCCCATGCTCTTTCTTGGGGTCTGAAATCCACAACCTCACAGCCTGTTTCCCTTTTGCTCACAGCCCCCACCCTTCCCCATCCAGGTCAGCTAGTGGGTCAGTGGGTCAGTGATAGGCTTCAGGGAGACTAGTTAGCACTGTACCCCTTCAGCATTTAGTTTATGGTTTATGAAGGAGCACAGAACATAAAGAGAGTCTTCTGGCTGCAAATATCTTTTGTTTTTGCTTGTAGCTTAGTCTGTATTATCTTATTGGAGGCAGTGTAGCATCTGTACCGTGTTAGGTGAAATTCTGCCACTATAAGGGTTTCTGATTGTTTGGGGAATGTATGTAGGGAGATATATACCTTTTTTTTTTTTTTTTTTGGTACTAGGGATTGAACTCAGAGGTACTCAACCACTGAGTCACGACATCCCCAGTCCTATTTTGTATTTTATTTAGAGATAGGATCTCACTGAGTCGCTTAGCGCCTCGCTTTTGCTGAGGTTGGCTTTGAAACTAGTGATCCTCCTGCCTCAGCCTCCTGAGCTGCTGGGATTACAGGTGTGTGCCACCGTGCCTGGTTGGGATATGCATATTCTGAGGCAAGAATCAGTTGACCAACTTCAGAAATACCAGCTAATATTTAAGTCACAGTGTGGAGGAAAGATGGCGAGGGATCAAATAATTCTGTGCATAATAGTTAATTCAGATAACTTGTTTTTTCATGTAAAAGTCATAACTGTATATCTAAACAATATTTTAGTGCAAATATATTAAGAATTTTATTAAATTTCCTAAAACGTGCATGTGTCCAGTTTTACTCTTAAAAATAATTCAACAGATGTTCAAATGGTTTATTTGCTCCTAGGATCCTCAGTAGAACATTAAATTATAATTTATATATTAGTATTCATGCCTAAAATCCTAGGAAATTCATTTTTGTTTATTGACAGCCCTGATCAAATATGCTGGAAGATAAAATATTTATAATTCTCTGGGTTTTATTGACATTTCACTCAAATTCTGTTGTTTTTAAAGATCAAGTTAAAGACTACAAAGGCCCTGAAAACTTAACATAGCATACTGGGATATCTCAAATAAATTAATAAATAAGGCACTAACTGCTTAATTTAAGACTTCTTCTTGTGTTCAAATTTTATTTCCGAATTTGCAAATTAATCTGTACCTTTTAAAAAATGAATTTTCTTTCCCTATAGAAGTCTAAAACGTCTTGAGCAGATCACATTGGAAGACAGTAAAGGAGCTGAGTCCATCATGAATTCAACACAGCAAGCAATAGGCCAAAAAAAATCTTCATTTTCTTACAAAATCATGCGACTTTATAATTATCTAAACTGTTGGATACTGGTTGTTAGATTTGGTGGCCAGAAACTAAATATAAAAAGCATTCTTGGATTCCATTTACATTTTAAATAATATCTGCAGTACAAAGTCTCTTTTAAGAACTAAAGTCTCTGGTTAGACTTCTTAACCCATTTCCTTGGTGAAGGCCATATGACAAATGTCTCCTCTTTTACCTTAGTCTCTTCAGGGCTTCCTTTTCTCTCTGGTCTCACACCCTACCCTTTCCCACCTGCCTCCGTCCACCACGCTGCCAGTCAGACAAATTCAGGATTGATGCTCTCTCTTAGGAGGCATAGGAGGTGGGGATCCTTTAGGAGATCAAATGCACAATTTCCCAGATGAGCAACTAATGAGGAGAAATTGCCAGGTATTTTAAGAAATCACTGCTGCTTGACAGTCAAAGACATCATGTAAATATTTTCCAATATTGTTCCTTTTGGTGCAAACTTCAGAGTATCATAGTGGCCATTTATTGATATGTATCAAAGGGAATTCAGCCACAGTCAACATGGGCAAAACTGACTAGATTAAACGTTGCATTCATTCCTTCAAGAATAAATGCATTAAAGCCCACCATATTCCAGGCATACTTTGGGGTTTAAAACACAAGTCAGATCTACAACAGAGTATGAAACTAGAGAAGGATATTCTAGGTGGAATAAACAGAAAACAAAGATTTCTTCCAGCAAAAATGCATAAGGCAAATACAAAGCGTACAGAGAATAAATTCAGAGAGTTTCAGTTCAAAGAATGCAGAGAAAAGTGGCAGAAAGGAAAGGAAAGGAATTTGTAGCAGAACAACTGATGTTAGAAATGGTAGATAAGTACCTACCTAATCATGCAAAGTCTTGCCTGCATGGATAGCAGAAGAGTTTAGTCTCTTTACACTTAGGAGAGGAAGCCATGGGGGCTGTAAGTGCCTTAGAAAGTTATAGACAGAAACGTAGAAGGCCTTGGGCACCTGAACTAATCTGCCATTTTCTGGGCCCGTGTTTCCTCATTTACAAAATTGGATATGTAAGATGTTCTTTTGGTCCCTCCCAGTGGAATAATTCTGTTATTCCACATTTTGGAAAATAGCAGTCTACAAGAAGAATCAAAGTAGGAATGTAAATGATAGGGCTCCTCAAAGTTCTAGGATGAGACAGTAAAGACAAATGGAGACGTYTGAGACAGGAAAGCATGTAGGGATGTGTGCACCTTGTGGCTGAGCAGGCAGTGCACTGCACCTCTCCATGGGTGCTATTTGTATCAACTAGGACTACAAGAAAGGTTAACAGAAGACAAAGGTCTTCCTGATAGAATGGATAGCCGAGTGAAGGCTTGGGGGTATCCCAAAGAAAGGAGCCATGTGAGAGAGAATTCAAGAGCATTCTTTTGAGAAATCTCTGGAGATGGGAAGGAGAAGCCAACTTTGAAAGCCCATCTCTCAGAAAAGGAGCCAGAGCTTATAATGTTGACTGGCAGTCAGACTTAATAGTGGTAGAACTGCAACCATTAGAAGATAAAGGAATAGAACAAGAAGGACATCCATAAGCAAAGAAAAGAGAGGGAAAGGTACGTTGTTCACAAAGCTCCAAAAAATGTGTCTAAAATTTTAGTAAGTGCCCACTGAGGGCCAAGTGTCCAGCCCTCTGGTAGACACGGCAGATTGGCCACATGATAAAATGGGCATGTGTCTTACCCTTATCAACCCAGAATAGGGAGGTTAGATATCAAACAAATAATTACATAAATGATCTGTTTATATTGGCAAAGAGAAAAAGCATGATGTGGGATGACAGTAATAGGTGACTCTGGATCAAAGGTGGGGGTAGATTCCTTGAGAAGATGACACTGGAGCAGGAACAGAGTTGGATCAATATTAGGAAGAATGGAAG